ACCCGGCCAACTGTCCTGGCCAACCTCCAGAGATGGGGTTAATCCTCCCGGCCAAACCCCCTCTGGCCAACCCTGGTTAGACCAATTCCTCCCATAATATATAGCAGCGAAAAGAGAAAGAGAGAAAACAAAAAAAAACAATATACAGCTAGCAAAACAAAGGAGAAACCGAAAGAGAGAGAGAGAGAGAGAGGGGGAGGAACCACCAGCGACGAGAAGACGAGGATGAGTCATGGCAGGGGGGCAGTGCGCAGATCACGAATAACGAGAGGGGGGTCAGTGAAGCACGAAAAAAAGAGGGCGGATACAGAAAAAGGGCAGGAAAGGAGAATGCCACGGGGAGCAGACGTTCGGATATGACGTGGCGCTCCACGAGCACTGTGATTACGATGCAGTTTAGCGCACTGGCAAAAAGGGGCCCATAGAGGTCAAACGGCAGCAAGTGGACCACGTACACTCGCGAGACACGCCCTATCTCACACCCGTGAAACTTTACCACGAGTTAACCGGCAGACCTCGCAGTACCGCTGGTCTTACTAAGCCTCTAGGGGCAGTAAAAGTAGTATTCCCATGTTAGGATCACTCAAATCAAAGGCAGTCAGGACTCAGTCACTCACCTCCCCGATGGCATTCGTCCTGGCCCTCGCCAGTTGCTTCTTGACCTTCTTCAAGATAGACCCAGGGGCTGGAGTTACGTCGCACGAGCGTGTACGTAAAATATGAGCAAGGAATTGCGTCGGCATCTTCTTCGTGAGACAATCAACAGCCATAATGCTTGCATCGGTCCATCGGATCGTATCACAAAATGTGCGTGGATATAAAATATTAACTTCTGCTGCTCCATTGGTCAAAATCAATTGTCTTAACCTACTGAAATCGATACTCACGCGCTTATATTCTGTCTTACCCAAAGTTGGTGCCACGAGATGTTCTTCAAGGTTTTTGCGATCCGTCCTCCATAAGTGCCCCATGGACATGGTTGATTCGTCTTCCCAGCTGGTTGGCAGCTCCTTTCCTGCGCCACGCACGCCGCGCGCATCTGCGATGTCGGCGCGAATGCGTGCACCAGATTCTACACCCCATAAACAAGCCAGGGTCTCTGCTTAATGTAGATTGACATTCTCGCTTGATCACTGTACTAGTTATACATGCAGGGTGAATGCGTGCAGCGTCTGTCCCCCTCGATGAATCCAGGCCCTGCGACCCCGCTGAACCTAGCCCATTGTGACCTGAGAGGCTCGACTCTACCCTTGACGACGCCCACTTCTCCTGCCCCACTGGCGTCAGAAACAACAGAAACTATCATATCCTGATTCCGCTCAACAGCTCCACCCCTGAATACTCGCCCGCTGTCAGCGGACTGAATTGCTTATTATGATACACGGTTTGCTTCCTTGAGATGAAGTGCCTTAACACGACGCACTGCAACCTGCTGCCTGCTCACACGACGCAATAGCTCAGGTTTACACTGGCGCGTAAACCATGGCCCATGACAAATCACCTGCGACCGATCTAAGCTGCGCTGTCTCGCCCTCATTGCACCTTCTCGTAGGGGGGCTGTGTCTCCAGGATATAATGCAGCTTAGACTTTCTCAATATTGCCCCTGGCCGTGATACCCGCCATGAAACCTTCATCTTGATCAACTTCTAAAGCGCCATGAAGTAAATTGTCCGGCTTGATCTCGCATATATCTAACTCTGCGAATGCCGAAACGATAATTTTCTGACCTTCAGCATCTGCAGCCCGCAAGATGCCATCCACGCGTGTACCTAACACCTAGGTGATCTCGTCCATGCCATAGTGGATACTTAACTAAGCAGGCCTGATACGATCCCCCTGCAGACCAGGAGCTTCAAACCTCCCGCGAACCACCTCGTCCTGCGTCGCGCGCGCCATAGACGGGCATGCGCGCGGTCGGTGCCCCACCATCCGGTACTCCTTCGAATCCGTCGGGCGATGGCTTGAGCAGCATGAGGCGGTCGAGTTCCTGCCCCTGGAAGCGCGCAGATGCAATGTCGGCACGCTTGAGCGTCGCCTCGGCACCGACAGCCCATGATACTATCAACCTTAGCCCTTCGAGTTCGCATGTTGGTAAATCCGCGCGGACGCCCAACGACTCCTCCAGATCTCCACGCACGACAAAACAACTCTTGTACTGCGGTGCAACCGGAGGTCCACCCGGTCTACGGAATTGTTCATTCTTGTAAATGTCAATCCGTTGCGCAGGTACAAGTCGGCATCCTTCATCGTGGATATTTGGCAGTTCCACGGGGCCAATAGGCACGGCGGCGTGAAACTGCCGCTAATTTTCCTGGTCGTCTCGTCTTGCGAGCCGTAAACCATTTTTAACGTCCTCTGATTCCCGATAGTACATCATATTCTTAACTCTCTAGCTTCTTCTTCGATTGCGGCTTACGAACGTGCGGCCATGCAAGAAACCGACAAGCGATTCACATGGCTTAACAACGAATGAAGCTTCTCTACGAAATAAAAGATGTA